TGTCAGCCATCCTAAAGATTTCATATATGCTAGCTAGCTCTTTCAGGTTTTACACAATTCTGTGTCTAGTTAATTGTCAGCCATCCTAAAGATTTCATATATGCTAGCTAGCTCTTTCAGGTTTTACACAATTCTGTGTCTAGTTAATTGTCAGCCATCCTAAAGATTTCATATATGCTAGCTAGCTCTTTCAGGTTTTACACAATTCTGTGTCTAGTTAATTGTCAGCCATCCTAAAGATTTCATATATTACAGCTCTTTCAGGTTTTACACAATTCTGTGTCTAGTTAATTGTCAGCCATCCTAAAGATTTCATATATGCTAGCTCTTTCAGGTTTTACACAATTATCAATCAATCAGGTGCCGTCTCCACAATGAAGGTTTGCTACAATGGATCACCAACAAGCCCTGTCTCTTGCCCTTGATGTACACTATGAAACTCATACTGCTGTTCATCCATCTCTTGATGTTATCCTCCCACTTGTAACGCTGTCTGCCTTTTGCTCGCCTACCTTGAACCTTTCACACAATTCTGTGTCTAGTTAATTGTCAGCCATCCTAAAGATTTCATATATGCCAGCTCTTTCAGGTTTCACAAAGTTCATTGACTACTTAGCTGTGATAGATCCTCAAGATTTCATATTTATTAGCTCTTTGAGGTTGTATGAAGTTCAGGGACTTTCCCATTACATATGCAGAGTCTGCCATAAAACAGTATACACGCTTAGAAATTAAAAGATGTCACATGTAGAGGTTTGTAAAGTGGAAATCATTGTAAGCCAGAGAGCCCCAGTGTAGAAAGATCAGTGATAGAATACAATTGGCAGATGATCTGCGGCCACTTGCTAGACCTTTGTGGGCCAGATTGGCCTGCAGGCTGCCAGTTGAATAGCCCTGCTCTGTGGCTAGCGGGCGCCACGGCGGTGGAAGTCCAACATTTGATTCACAACAATTCACGACCAGATGATCTGATTTTCTATACAGGTGGTTTGGTGTTGAAACGAAAGAGAAATGCCCGGGGGTTCATAGCGAAAGCATATGGGAAATCTTTAGTGCAAGACAGCCTAGGATACGACATCACAACATCTTGCATGAGAATGGAGGTCGAGGCGGTAACTGCAGCTCTCTGGTGGCTAGAGAACATGATGCATACACATGACGTAATTGTAACAGACTCTGAAGGCATGCTAAGAAAGGTGAAGACAGGGATGCCTCGAACAGAGTGGCAAACTTCACTGGGAAAGTCACGGGTGGTGAGCATGCTTTGGATCATTTCTCCAGGCCATGCTGGTGTAGTGGGTAATGAACAGGCAGACAGATTGGCTGGATCTGCACCACTGGGTGGGGAATTGATACATGACAAGGCAGATGTGGTCAAGGCCCTTTGGGAACAAGCAAGGAAATCAGTAGAGAAACACGATTATTATTGCCTGGAGAAAATGAGGCACCTGGGTGTACCCAGAGGGTCTGTCCGGCGCACTACACTCAGAGGAAAGGCAAGAAGGACATATAACCAGATTGCGACCCGTACCATCATTTTTGGAGTTCTGCGCTTGCTGCTGAAGATGAGGGCGGAGCACACATGGAAATGCCCCAACTGCTGTGATGTCAATTTTTAACCTCAACTCAACTCGCCCTGCTCTAAAGGATATAATGTATTGGTTCCCTGTAAACTGAGACTTGTGGACATTACTCATTTTTTTTTTTTGAAGGCCTGCCACATACCCCATGCTGAAAAATGTATATTAATTCATATTTATCAGAATTGCTAAAAGGATTGTATTCTTCTTTTTTATGTCCACTTGCTGTAGACTGCAGTAGAAAGTTCTGGTTGTTCGCCCACTTCTGGACTTTGGTCTTATTCCAGAATTTGGTGTACACATCCATTTTACAATTCTCTCTCTCTCTCTCTCTCTCTCTCTCTCTCTCTCTTTGCATGTGTGTGTCTGTCTGTGCATCTGTGTCTGTCTGGCTGTCTATATGTCTGTCTGGCTGGCTGGCTGTCTGTCTGTCTATCTATCTGTCTGTCTGTGTATGGGGGCCTGGAGGGTGGGAGGGTGAGTAAATGATATCATAGATTACTTAAATTTTACACCAAATGGGGAACACTGGTTTTGACCATGTGAGTGAGGGTAGAAACAATGAGAGAACTAATATGTTAGCTTTAGTAGCACCTCTCTTTGAGGCATCTCTTTGATTTGTTTTCTGTTTCTCTCTTGCCATTACAGACCATTTTATTACAACATAGAAGAGGAGAGAGCATTCCGTATGAAGAAAAGTCTACAGTTCAACACAGAGATCAGTTTTATATTTCTAGAAATGATGGTCAATCTCTTTAGGTTAGTCATCGTCATCATCATCATCATCTTCATCATCATCATCATCATCATCATCATCATCATCATCATCATCATCATCATCATCATCATCATCATCCTTTGTGTGCAGTTATACGTCACATAGGGCTCGCAATGCAGCTTTTACACTCTGCATGCAACTTTCTCAACTTCTGACATGGAGTTCAGTCCCAAATTTTTTTGCCTCTCGTAATAACATTCTTCTTCATGTTTCCCTTGGATGTCCTCTTTTTCTCAGACTGTTTGTTTCCATTTCAATGCCTGTTTTGTAATTCTTTGCTCATTTCATCTCAAAGTTTGCCCAGTTTATCTCACCTTCTTTGTCTTATTGCAGTTGATACAGGTATTTGTCCAGACATGTCTCCGATCTCCTTTCTCTTTTTGAAGTCAGCCCATTTTATGTTCATGATTTTTTCTCATTTATTTTTAAATTTGTTTAACTTTTTGTGTCCCAGGGGGTTTAGCATCAGAGACCAAAGGGGTAGTCAGACTGAGCCAAGTCCACAGAGCCTAAAATTTGTACCAAGTACTGTCCCACAAAGTAAAGATAGCTATCTCTCTGTGGGTTCTGGGGTCTTATTTTTTTGGGGGAGGGGGGGGGGGAAATGAATAGACCCACTGGCAAACAAGGTGACTAATTAAGGGTATTTACTTCAAAGTCAAAGTGCATCTGTCTGTGAGGCGAGCAATCAACAGCCTGCGTAGTAATGAGCAAGATCTGTAAAACAGGTGTGCACGAAAAACTCAAATTTTAGAACAAGGCCAAAGTCCAGAAGTAACAGAACAACCAGAACTTTCCGCCGGAGTTACAGCTGATGAATGTTAAAAAGAAGAAGAAAGGTAGTTAGCAAGATATTGACCACATCACCCTGCGTAAATTGGTCTATAAACATATGAGTCCAGCACCAAATGCCGGATACCCCACTGAAGTCAAATGGACCCTTTACTTACTTATCTAGGGAGTCGTCATGGCTTAGCAGCTAGATGCTCCTGTACGGATCGGAAGGTCGTGGGTTCGTTCCATGGCGGAGCAAGACTTTAAAAAAAAAATGAATGCAGTTTGAATCTGCATTCTGCTGGATTTTTGTATAATTGACCTTGGCTCCCAGGTTGGTCAAGGCTAAAATGGGTACCAGGAAATGCTCTTGGAAGTAAAGGCAGCGGGCAAAAATGAAGACCACATTGCCATTCAAATACTATTTGTCTGTTAACTCTTTCAGGCCCATGAATTTTGACAGACTTGGCTCACATTAATTTTCCTTTACAAAAATGACAGGGGGTGGTGTAAAAACAAAAAGGCAATTGACAATGTAATGTATTTTGAATCCCTACAAAAACATATTTTTTTTTTTTAAAGAGGAATGAATGTACATTTTGAATCTGATGATGTGTTTTTGTTTAATACTGTTATAGTTAGTAAGAAAAAAAGAATTCAGCAGGTTTTTAGTTTATAAAGACAACATTTTACCTAAACAATCTTAATTTACCGTGGTTTTGCAGTCATAGAAGCAGTGAATATCCAAATTTGAGAACAACACTTTAAAGTTTGTTCATTTTCCTAACAAATTCAAAAGTTATGAAGCATATCAGGGTTAGTTTATCACTCAGAGGCTCTATGTTTTTGTAGCGTGCTGAACAAAATTTCAAAGGAAAAAAATGGCATTAAAGTGGATCTATACACAAAATATTAACTTTGTAGTTATGTACAGATGGTAGCTGCAATTATTTCAGTGCAGCTTAGCCATTGTATGAGTATGGTACTGTCTGAAACAGTCCTTTGAATACAAATGTAAGTGATTATCACATCCTTCACAAATGAAATGGGTCCTCCTGGGTATACCTCATCAGAACAAACAGCTAACCCCGGAGCTGCTGCTGGTGTTAGTTCACTGTCAGAATCACTTTCTGAAATATTTACATTTTTCATTATTACCAGAATTAGAAAACATCAATTTCAGAGCCACAGACAGTCGCATTTTTCAGCCTGTGTTTGTGTTTGGAACATTGGAATAAATGGCAGTTGAACATGAAATTAGAAAATACACTGTCTGAAAATGATATAGCAATGAATCAGATCAGTGTGAGCCAACATGTGTGTGAACAAAGACCTTTTTACAAAGAAAAATGTTGAAGTAACCTTCCCTGAATACTTTAATGTTAGTTCTGTACATTAAAAATGAACATGACTCCAAATCCCTGTCTAGACTGATGGACATGGGAGTGCAGCCTGGAGCTGCAAGAAGTAAGCATTTCACTAAGGGGACAAGAAGTTTCATTAACCAACACAGAACAGGCGTCATCAGTTGTTTTACACTTGTGAAGCTTTTGAACAGGAGATCGGAGCACCTATGGATCTGTCCAGAGTGCTGTGATGATAATCCTTTCTAATCACTAATCACTAATTAGAAACGAATACTGGGCTGTATACGAATCAATATCTACAGGACACACGATCAATGCTGACAGAATTGTGTTGGGTAAATCGGAACATCTCAATCAACACTCACAGTGTTACTCAGGCCTCAGAGAGTTAAAAGTGTGTTAGCAGTGTGAAAATGATTCTTTACTTACTTCTGGCTTAGATTCTCTCAAAGTTTGCTTTCTTGTATATTGATTTGGGGTTTGCTGTATTATTTTTAACAGGGGAACTTTGCCATTCTTGAGAATTGATCATCAACTGTTCAATAAACAACATTTCATGGAAACCATTCCTGAGGGCGACAAACCATTCTATGAAAAGGTAAACTAAAACAGCTTAAACTGGGCTGTCTAATGGTTTATCAAGCTAATTTTAAAACAATTTGTCATGTATTCTAGTAGTTTGCAAATGGGTTATAACTTAATACTATATTTTTGTTTTCATTTTATGTAAATGTGAATCTCAAACAATATTTCATAACACAAAAATAAATCCACTGCCACCATGTCATTGAAAAGCAAAGGGAAAGAGGGTAGGCGGGGGAGGTGGGGGGGGGGATATAGGAGGAGGTGCAGAAAGCAGAATAAGGTAAAGGAGGAGGACGAGATAGAGTGGTGAAAAAAGGCTGAAGAGGAAGGAAAATATCTGTAAGTTTAGGAAGCAAAATGAGAAGAAGGCTGCGGAAGAAAAATAAATGGAAACAATGTGGACAAAACATTGTAGGAGATTATGATTATTGCATTCGAAATAGAAGAAGGATGAGGAAAAGTGTGGGAAAAGAAGAAGTAGGAGAAGAAGGAGGCAAAAGAAGAGAGGGGAAGAGTATGGGAAACCAGGAGAAGCAGGATGAGAAAGAAGGATGAAAAAAAGGATTAACAAGAAGAATAAGGAGGAGCAGAAAGAAGAACAGGTGGAGGAAAACACAGAATAAGGAAGAAGAGGAAGCAGACGCATTCGTAACTCATTTGTTTACATTTTTTTATAAGGTGCTCAACACAGACATGTTTAAGCAGTTCTTAGAAGACAGGCTGAAAGGAAAGGCGGACTACTGGTCAGATTATGAAAAGAAAACCCAACCTTACACCAAGCGTAACAGTGGACCTCTTGTTTCACCTGTAGGTAGTATTCACAGGTGAGATTGCCATGTCTGAAACAGGCCTGGACCTTTTAACTTGGTAATTGTTCCTTGTTCATTGAAAGATCGTCTTCATTGGACGTGACCTAAATGCTCTAATCTATCCTGAGTGTGTCTCTAAATGTTTTTAGGCTAACAGTTCTCATTCTGTTCTGGTTGGTGTAACAGTAGGTGGCTTCCGCATGGATTTCTTGTCCTCCTGCTCCACTTGGTACACCCAGGATATGCAGTCTATTCAGTGGGGAATCCTTTTCCACGAAACTGATAGCCTCACAACGTTTACTCTTGGCATTGATGATGTCTCTCTTGTCCACAGATGGCCGATTCTGATTAGTCACATTGCCAGCCAGGTCGTTTGCTTTCTCATTGCCTTTCACACCTGCATATCCTGGCAAAAAAATGGTGATTTTGCGAACCACTGTGTGCTGTATCAGATGGACCAGTTTTTCTTTATATACTCCACTTTGATCTTCTGAAGCATGCTCCATTAGTCACTGAGCAAGCTTGAATTGGAGAATTCCTGTGTCTTCAGTCATTCTAGTGCTTATTTTCTTCCCTTATTCTGTTAGTCATTAATTGTTAGTTGAGGTCTTGTCTTCTTCGCATTCACCGGCTGTAAACCGCAACAGAAAGTTCTGGTTTTTTTTCCACTTCTAGACTTTAGACTTGTTTCAGAAGTTGAGTTTGTGTACACATTCATTTGAGAGGTCTGGCTTACCTTTTTGCAGACTGGTCATTCCTTAGTTTACTCTTAGGACATACATGATAAAGAACACATGGAGGCAGTCACTGCTGTGGCTAGAGAATCAGCTGTACACACATGTCGTGATTGTAACTGACTCACAGAGCATACTAAGAAAGGTGGAGACATGTATGCTCCATGCAGAGTGGCAAGCATCACTTGAGAGGTCCGGTGTAGTTAGTATCCTTTGGATATTCTCTCCAAGGTATGCCGGTGTGTTGGGAAATGAGCAGGCAGATAGACTGGCCCATCCTGCACCACTTGGTGGTGAACTGATGTATGACTAGCTAGATATTGTGAGGGCTCTCTAGGAGTGAGTGAACAGTGAGGAAGCGCAAATAGATCATTCTTAAGAGAATGGTGCTGGGAGGAGTTACCAGGGGATCTGGCCGAGGCTCAATACTCAAGGGAGGGGCTAGATGGATATAGAGTCAGACAGTTACTGGTGCCATCAGAATTGGAACTCTTTGTTTGCTGCTGAAGATGGGGACGGAGCGCTTATGGAGGTGTCCTGAGTGCTATCATGTCGATTCTTAATTCAGCATTCATTTAACAACATTCAACATGTTAGAGGGCAGTTAGTCTAATATTCAGTCACCCACCAGTTTAGTGCAGTCAGCATTGCTATTGAGCACAGAAGAAGGAAATCTACAGCTCATAGTGTTGCACCAAGCATTCAGCTCAGTAACTGGGTGACTTTATTCTGGGGTATTCTGGCATATACCAACTTATACCCTTCTTATGTGTTCTTACATACCATAGAGAGATTATGGGACTCACCAAAAAAATATATTCCAGTAGTTAGCAATAGATACATGGCAGCCAACCTCCATTGTAGAGCGCACTATGTTTCTGTCTTCTTCTTTGTTGTCTCACTGATAGCAAGTTGTAGCCAAGTGTTGTGGTTGCATCGCCTCACTGATACCAGGTTGTAGCCCAGTGTCATGGTTTTGTCTCTCACTAATACAGGTTGTAGCCCAGTGTCATGGTTTTGTCTCTCACTAATACAGGTTGTAGCCCAGTGTCATGGTTTTGTCGTCTCACTAATACCAGGTTGTAGCCCAGTGTCGTGGTTTTGTCTCTCACTAATACCAGGTTGTAGCCCAGTGTCGTAGTTTTGTCGTCTCACTAATACCAGGTTGTAGCCCAGTGTCATGGTTTTGTCTCTCACTAATACAGGTTGTAGCCCAGTGTCGTGGTTTTGTCATCTCACTGATACAGGTTGTAGCCCAGTGTCATGGTTTTGTCGTCTCACTGATACAGGTTGTAGCCCAGTGTCATGGTTTTGTCATCTCACTGATACCAGGTTGTAGCCCAGTGTCGTGGTTTTGTCTCTCACTAATACAGGTTGTAGCCCAGTGTCATGGCTTTGTCTCTCACTAATACCAGGTTGTAGCCCAGTGTCATGGCTTTGTCTCTCACTAATACCAGGTTGTAGCCCAGTGTCATGGTTTTGTCGTCTCACTAATACAGGTTGTAGCCCAGTGTCATGGTTTTGTCGTCTCACTAATACCAGGTTGTAGCCCAGTGTCATGGTTTTGTCGTCTCACTAATACCAGGTTGTAGCCCAGTGTCATGGTTTTGTCGTCTCACTAATACCAGGTTGTAGCCCAGTGTCATGGCTTTGTCTCTCACTAATACAGGTTGTAGCCCAGTGTCGTGGTTTTGTTTCTCACTAATACAGGTTGTAGCCCAGTGTCATGGCTTTGTCTCTCACTAATACCAGGTTGTAGCCCAGTGTCATGGTTTTGTTGTCTCACTGATATCAGGTTGTAGCCCAGTGTCATGGTTTTGTCATCTCACTAATACCAGGTTGTAGCCCAGTGTCATGGCTTTGTCTCTCACTAATACAGGTTGTAGCCCAGTGTCATGGTTTTGTCTCTCACTAATACCAGGTTGTAGCCCAGTGTCATGGCTTTGTCTCTCACTAATACCAGGTTGTAGCCCAGTGTCATGGCTTTGTCTCTCACTAATACAGGTTGTAGCCCAGTGTCATGGTTTTGTCATCTCACTAATACCAGGTTGTAGCCCAGTGTCATGGCTTTGTCTCTCACTAATACAGGTTGTAGCCCAGTGTCATGGTTTTGTCTCTCACTAATACCAGGTTGTAGCCCAGTGTCATGGCTTTGTCTCTCACTAATACCAGGTTGTAGCCCAGTGTCATGGCTTTGTCTCTCACTAATACAGGTTGTAGCCCAGTGTCATGGTTTTGTCTCTCACTAATACAGGTTGTAGCCCAGTGTCGTGGTTTTGTCTCTCACTAATACAGGTTGTAGCCCAGTGTCATGGCTTTGTCTCTCACTAATACAGGTTGTAGCCCAGTGTCATGGTTTTGTCTCTCACTAATACCAGGTTGTAGCCCAGTGTCATGGCTTTGTCTCTCACTAATACCAGGTTGTAGCCCAGTGTCATGGCTTTGTCTCTCACTAATACAGGTTGTAGCCCAGTGTCGTGGTTTTGTCTCTCACTGATACCAGGTTGTAGCCCAGTGTCATGGTTTTGTCATCTCACTGATACCAGGTTGTAGCCCAGTGTCATGGCTTTGTCTCTCACTAATACCAGGTTGTAGCCCAGTGTCATAGTTTTGTCTCTCACTGATACCAGGTTGTAGCCCAGTGTCATGGCTTTGTCTCTCACTAATACCAGGTTGTAGCCCAGTGTCGTGGTTTTGTCTCTCACTAATACCAGGTTGTAGCCCAGTGTCATGGTTTTGTCTCTCACTAATACCAGGTTGTAGCCCAGTGTCATGGCTTTGTCTCTCACTAATACCAGGTTGTAGCCCAGTGTCGTGGTTTTGTCTCTCACTAATACAGGTTGTAGCCCAGTGTCGTGGTTTTGTCGTCTCACTAATACCAGATGGTAGCCCATTGTCGTGGTTTTGTCTCTCACTAATACCAGGTTGTAGCCCAGTGTCATGCCTTTGTCTCTCACTAATACCAGGTTGTAGCCCAGTGTCATGGTTTTGTCTCTCACTAATACAGGTTGTAGCCCAGTGTCATGGCTTTGTCTCTCACTAATACCAGGTTGTAGCCCAGTGTCATGGTTTTGTCGTCTCACTAATACCAGGTTGTAGCCAAGTGTCATGGTTTTGTCGTCTCACTGATACCAGGTTGTAGCCCAGTGTCATGGTTTTGTCGTCTCACTGATACCAGGTTGTAGCCCAGTGTTGTGGTTTTGTCGTCTCACTGATACCAGGTTGTAGCCCAGTGTCATGGTTTTGTCGTCTCACTGTTACCAGGTTGTAGCCCAGTGTCATGGTTTTGTCGTCTCACTGATACCAGGTTGTAGCCCAGTGTAGTGGTTTTGTCATCTCACTGATACCAGGTTGTAGCCCAGTGTAGTGGTTTTGTCATTTCACTGATACCAGGTTGTAGCCCAGTGTCATGGTTTTGTCGTCTCACTGATACCAGGTTGTAGCCCAGTGTCATGGTTTTGTCATCTCACTGATACCAGGTTGTAGCCCAGTGTCATGGTTTTGTCGTCTCACTAATACCAGGTTGTAGCCCAGTTTTATGGTACCAGTCTTAATAGTGTTCTTGACAGAGCTCATCAACGAATGTTACATCTCCCCCTGACACTTCCCTGAGGTACAAGGTGGAAGAGAAGAAAAAGAAGAAAAAGGATTGTGCATTTGGCCCCTGTGGAAGTAGTATACCCATGAGTTTAATGATGTCACTCTTGTCTCTCTCAAACATTAGCTAAGGCTATCTGGGACTGAAAGAGTTGGGATTTACAAATATAACTGTGAATGCGAAGCAACAAATTATAAGTAGCATAGCCATATGTTAACTCACTGCTGCCAATGATAACCAAATCAAATGATGACAAAACTGAGATTTTTCCATGAAGTTTCTCCAAAAACATTTGTTGTTTAAACACTATAAAATTTGGTTCCAAACAGTTATTTTGTCTATGTACAGCTCAGGGAAATAAATATTATAATCGTTTAATTGCAGGCATCAGACGAAGACTTTGCGCAAGCAGGTATCTGTCACAACATTTAATTCCTTGTCTCAGAGGGTTTTTGAGGTGTTTCGGTTGCCGACCCTCAATGATTCTGTTTCTTACATAAAAAATACCATTGGTTTGCTGAACAAGAATATTGAGGTAAACATTCTGTACTGTTGAGACTAGAATGTTTTTTCTGTCATTCATAACTTACTAATCCTATCATTCTTCTTCCTCCTCTCTTTCTCCAGTTACTATACTGAGATGTTGGAGGTTTGGGTTGGTTGGGGGGGGGGGGGGGAGGGGTTTATTAGGGATCCTCTGTAGTTTTTTTTCTCTAATGCATCATATAAGTTGATCTTCATTTCTTTTAAAGCTATTGATGTTTTGCATGGTCCCCTGGTTCATTGTTGATTATATTTCTTTAGTGTGGCTCTCAATGGCAGTTGGTGCCACGACATTCTTTTCAGACCTTCTTATCTTGAATGTTGAACGTTGAATCAAGAATTGATGTCACAGCATTCTGGACATTCCTATAAGCACTCTGACCCCATCTTCAGCAGCAAGTGAAGAGTATCAATTCTGATGATACCAGTGACAGTCTGATTGTACGAGTGTGTCTCGTTGAGTGTTGAGTGTCAGCCTGATCCCCTTGTCACTCCTTGCTGTACCATTCTCCCCAGACCGTAATGACCTGTTGTGCCTCCGCACTGTACCATCTCATCTGTTGTGCCTCCACACTGTACCATCTCATCTGTTGTGTCTGTGCACTGTACCATCTCATCTATTGTGCCTCCGCACTGTACCATCTCATCTGTTGTGCCTCCACACTGTACCATCTCATCTATTGTGTCTGTGCACTGTATCATCTCATCTGTTGTGCCTCCGCACTGTACCATCTCATCTGTTGTGTCTGTGCACTGTACTATCTCATCTGTTGTGCCTTCACACTGTACCATCTCATCTGTTGTGCCTCTGCACTGTACCATCTCATCTGCTGTGCCTCCGCACTGTACCATCTCATCTGTTGTGCCTCCGCACTGTACCATCTCATCTGTTGTGTCTGTGCACTGTACTATCTCATCTGTTGTGCCTCCGCACTGTACCATCTCATCTGTTGTGCCTCCGCACTGTACCATCTCATCTGTTGTGTCTCCGCACTGTACCATGGCATCTCTTGTGTCTCTGCACTGTACCTTCACATCTGTTGTGTCTCTTCACTGTACCATCTCATCTGTTGTGTCTCTGCACTGTACCATCTCATCTGTTGTTATGTTACCTTGTCCTGGCCACCTTATTTCTTGTCTTGCTGTTACATCAGTTTTATAATCTGAAAGCTTATGAATTGATTCTTTAGCTGCAGCAGCTCTGTATAAAATTTCTAAGTTCTGTGTTCCAATCCCAACAGTCTTCTTTTTCCGTGCAAGATTGGTTATCTATTTAAATCCATCTAAATTCAAAGAAGAATTAGAAAGCAACCTCCTCGTGTAAATTCAGATTTGGGGAGAAAAAAGGGTACAACTCACTAACTCGGGCCCATCGGGGTGTCAGCTTAGTCGATGCTCTTACTCGCGACGACCACGCGTGCTCTGTATTAGAGGATGTGAGCGCTTTTAACATGTACAAATGGCCCCAACCCCAAACACCCCTTCCCCACACACTGAAACTAGGTCTGAGGAGACAGTGCATTCTACCTGCCTTGGTTTCAGACTTCTTAACATTTTACAATGGCTTGCACAATGCTGTGTTCCTTCAGACAGGCAACGCTACCCTCTGCAATAAACTCATTTCCTACGCATAATTCTAGACGGCTGTCATTTACAGCTCTTCTAAGTCATTTCATCTCTATTTTCACAATTTTACATTCATTAGAGAATTTCAGCTCTTCTAAGTCATTTCATCTCTATTCTCACAATTTTACATTCATTAGAGAATGTCAGCTCTTCTAAGTCATTTCATCTTTATTTTCACAATTTTACGTTCATTAGAGAATGTCAGCTCTTCTAAGTCATTTCATCTCTATTGTCACAATTTTACGCTCATTAGAGAATGTCAGCTCTTCTAAGTCATTTCATCTCTATTGTCACAATTTTACGTTCATTAAAGAATGTCAGCTCTTCTAAGTCGTTTCATATCTATTTTAACAATTTAACGTTCATTAGAGGATGTTAGTGTCATTATGATCATTATTAACATGATCATTATCTGCTTAAATTCTAGGAATGCAGAAGTATTCACCTGAGATCTTCCTACATCTACTTGAGGGGTATGTTTCATGCTGCTGAAGGCAATGTGCAGAGTGCATTAAGTGACCTGCTCAGTTTGTATGCTCATAATGCAAGACTTCTACCTATGAGGTGAGCTGACTCCCCATATTTGCTGTTATTGTCTCATATGTCTGCTTCCTCACTTCTGATATGGCATTTCTTTTTTTTTTTTTGACTATTGTGTGTTGCTTTATTGTCTGATGTTGATTTCTGTATTGTCTGATATATCTATTTCTTTTTTTTTTTTTTTTTTGGGAGGGGGATATCTTTCTTCATTGTCTGATATCTCTTTCTTTATTGCCTGATATCTCTTTCTTCATTGCCTGATATCTGGTTTTTTTATTGTCTGATAGATTTATTTCTTTATTGTCTGATTCTTTGTTGTCATTGTCATATTTTATCATCGAGCATTTATGGCAAGACCAGCACCGACCATGCTGCTGATGTCACCAAACCGGGCTAACGATACGTTAACGCAGTGATTCTCAAACTGGGTGAGCGTATGTCAAGGGTGCCAAGGCAGTAATCAAGAATATTTCCATATCTGCTTGACATTACATTTACATCATTTTTCTTCTTTTCTTAAGTATTCAAACCGCTTTAAGGGTAGATGTGCTGCAAAATTTCTTTTTTCCCCGAGGAAAAAAGTATGAGAAGCGCTGCCTTAATGTATCATTAGCCTGGTTTGGTGACATCCGCAGCAGGGCCCGTCAGCTAGAACCAGTCTTGGCTAGACCCATATTTTCCAAACACCCACTGGCAGACAACATGTGATGTGCTACCAATATCACACCAGCCCATTTTACTTTCCAGATAACTTCATGCTAACCACTTTTAGACTAGGTCAGCATTGGAGACCAGATCTAAGAAAAAATGCATCTCAAATGGAATTGAACCTTTGATCAGTAGACAGGCAGGCAAATGTGCTAGTTACTACACTACTACGGCTCCTTTTGTGTGTGTGTGTGTTGACATTGCATTGATAGAGTAATCTCCTAATTATTGCGTGACATGGGAGTAAAGCATGTTGTAGCCTGTCTGTTCAACCTTCGAGGCCCCAAATGGGTATTATAACCGATTCTTCATGGGAACGATCTGTAGAGATACCTTAAAGTAGCTGCTGCATTTGAGGACTGAGCTTGCATGGGAATGCCCAGTGTGTGATGATGTTGATTGTAATAATTTAACATAAAAGCTACAAAGTAAAGATGCCTCAACATGTCACTGGTACATGGGGCATATGAGGATAGACTCCTGTTCTCATAGGCCAACTGATCCTCAATGAGTGATGTGGATAACATCATGCCGACCGCCTTTACTTTCCAAGACTCTACCTGGTACCCATTTAAGGCTGGGTCAACTGGGCAGGCAAGATCATGTTTGAAAAAATTCCAGCTCCGTTGTGATCTGAACCCACAACCTTTTGATCCACAGGCAAGTATCTAGCCGCTACGCCACAGTGGCTGCCGATAAAATAACATGATATAGTATCTTCTTGTGTGTTTTTCAGTTTAGTCTACACTCTCCTTCAACAACTGCCTGAAGCAGAAAGAGAAGAAATGTTGCGGAAGAGAGGAATCACAGACCTCCATGACCCTGGACCCGCACGACTTACTCGTCCCAAGCTGATGGCTAAAGTTCCTATACCTGACTGTGACCTCTGTATGTTTGCTTTAGAGTTAGTTTCTGATTGTCTTTCCTACAAGCTTTTAAACTTCTGTTGTAAAGTTTGATTTGATTTGATTCAAGAACCGACATCACAGCACTCGGGGCATTCCCATAAGCGCTCCGTCCCCATCTTCAGCAGCCAGCGAAGAGTTCCGATACTAATGGTGCCAGTAGCTTTCTGATTAAACGTCCGTCTTGCCTTTTCTCTGAGCCTTGAGCTTCTGCCAGAACCTCTCGTCACTCCCAACTGCATCAATCTCACCAGACTGGTGATCCATCTGCTCCTCTGCATTGTACACACTCTCCCACAAGGCACTAACCACGTCTGCCCTATTATGTAGTAGTATTCTACCAAATTGTGCAGAGCCAGCCAGTCTGTCCGCCTGTTCATTTCCCAACACACCGGCATACCCAGGTGAAAAAATCCAGACAATACTTCTCACTCGTGTCCTCCGCAGCGAAGCATGCCACTCTGCACGAAGCATACCTGTTCTGATCTTCCTCAGCATGCTTTTTGAATCAGTTACAATTACAATGTGTGTGTGTGTCATGTTCTTTAGCCAGCGGAAAGCTGCAGTGACCGCCTCCACCTCCTTTCTTAAGCTGGATGTTGTGGTATAGTAAAGTTTGAAATGAGCTAACTATATGCAGACAGTGCCTGTAGGGAATTAACTTTTAGCCCTTCATACACACTATGTACAGCGAAATTAGACAGGGCAGCCAGTTTCCTTTCTTCTTATATATTTTATTTCTTTACAATTAAAAAATATATATATTTAAGAGATTTTACTATGTAGAGTTCAGAGATACAATTTTGCTTCTGCGTCTGCTCTTCGTTCCTCACTGGAGCATAGGCCTTCAACTAACTATTGCCAGCACTCTTATCATTTGCTGTCTACTGTTTACTCCATAACCTATGAACTTCTGGTCCAAAATGGAGGACTAGGCACGGCAGAATGTTTAGCTTCCAAGTGATTTTTTTCTAATGCAGTTTCCACATATGGACTGAAGTCTGTGGTTTTGCTGCCTGGGCAACTGAGTTTAGTGCTTGGTGCAGCACTGTGAGCTGTGTTTTTCATGTGGAATGCCTTTCATTTGTGCAATGTTTGAGCCATGGTATTCATTATGGCCGGTAGCAGGCTTATGCCTGGGCTAGTGAAAACCTTATGTAATAATTGTACATGTGTATAGCGAACTTATCATGTCTAACTGCTTCCATCAGCAACAAACAATTTATGGTTGACTTTGGTGCCTTATGCGCTTATATCTGAATTGTGCCAGTACCAATTGTTTGTTCATCAATCTTTTAGATGAGACAGGGAGGGACATTTTATTTGATTTTCACTGGCACAGGAACGGAGCAGGTATGGGGTGACCTGATTGCAGTGAAGTTGAAACCTCGACTACAGCTACGACTTTATTATCTCCCCTCAGTATTCAGCTTTCTTACTCTCTTTGCGGTATTAGAAAATCACAGTGTGGCATTCTTTCTGTGTATTCTTAATGATTGTTTGAGGCGCTCCATTTTGGAGAGGAAATAGACCCACTACCCCTATCAGGCATTTCATAGGAAGGGTTGGATTAAGGCCATCTTCTGACTGACTAACTGACTTTCCACCCCACCAGGACATCACACAAGCGATAAACACCCGATGACACAATGTGCTACCCTGTGGGTGAGGATCACCGGGGAGAGGTCCCAGAAACCAGGCTATATTGCGGCCCCTGGCAAGAGCCAGAGTAGGGTTTCAAATAAGAACAATTTCATCCTTAAAAGGACAGGAGAAGACTGGCCATTTTCTTCGAAGTCAGAGCACATGTGTCTGAGAGCCAAGGAACCAACTGTCTGCGCATAAATAAGTTATAAGATTTCTACAATCGATGTGCACGCAAAACTCAAGTTCCGGATCAAGAGCGAAGCCCAGGAGTGGACGAACGACCATAATTTTATGCAGATGTTTACAGATGGTGAATGCTAAGAAGAAGAAGAAGAAGAAGATATCTGAGTGTTCCTGCCTGAAGAAAAAAATAAGAGATAGCTGGAGACAGAAATAACATATAGGTTATTTTAGCAAGGCTTGATGGGTTCTAACATACACAGATTGGTTTGTTAAAAAGTAAAGGACCCTTTTCCGCACCTTCAGATGTATTTGGCAGATAGTGCAAGAGCTATATTTTATAGACTAATTGGCGATCTGTGGATGATGTGGTTAACATCAGATCAGGATCTTTTACTTCCAAGGACTTTACCTGGTGCTCATTTAAGGTTGGGTCAAAAATGGGAGCCAAGGTCATAAAAAAAAAAAAACTAATTCTGTTTGGATCTGAACCTACATCCTTTGGATCCACACGTGAGCATCTGGAGGTTACACCATGATGACTCCCAAACGGATCTGTAGTGAGAGATAAAAGGAGTCGTTGGGATTTTATTGCAAAGTTGAAGGGATACTATTCAAAAAATGACAGTCACTTAGAATGGCTGAAGTAGAATTTAGTTTATGCATATCATATAGAACAGTTACCTTGCCACTGTGAATTCTTGGACCCCACTATGGTGAAAAGACCCAGACCCAATGCCTTCCTAACAAGCATGTCATAAGAAGTGGCTAACTGCAACTTGCTTTTTAGGGGGGTAACGGGTTTATTCTTGTTGTTCTTGTTCACCACAATGTCCCCCAGAATCCACACTGGGATGTTCACAATTTAAGTGGAAACAGAGATAAAACATGGCAAAAATTGTCATTTTTGTTTATGAAAAAAAAATATTGTTGTATTGAGTTTTTGAGTTGGCACCTTTCCGTCTTTCCTGATGATAGTGTTAGACTGTACTATGGAGTGGTATGAAAATCACAGCCCATGGTGATGACAAGTGTAACTAGCAAGACCTGGCCACATTAAGAAAAACCTTTCACAGTTAAAGAGTTAAGGACCTTTGCTATCATCATGTGTATTTAGCTTGCTTCTTCTTGGAATAGGAACTCTTCGCTTGCTGCTGAAGATGAGGGACGGAACGCTTATGGGAGTGTACCGAGTGCTATGATGTTGATTCTCAATTCAAGATTCAAATTCTTAAATGCTCAGCTCTTAATCTTTCTGGAAATCACTTTTTTTCCTTTATTCCTATTTCTTTCCTGATTTCCTCCCCCCACCCCCTTTTCCCCCCCTCCCCCAAGAAACACAGTCCATGACATTTTACTCCCATGATTCTACCTCAATACCTGTATCATTCATGTCCTGCTTGGTTATTGTTCACAGCTCTTGAAGACTTTGTGAAGACTGTGTCTCTGCTAGATATGGCAACAGACTATGACACCATCCTGAAGCTCTTCCTGGCTCTGTCACATCCTCAGAGATCCACATGTAGGTATCATTTTGGACTATTTTCTCTTTGCGGTCAAGGAGAATTTATTTCTCATACCTAGTCATTAGTCTAGTTGAACTGCAAGTTTCACTGTAAACTGGTCAACGGCGCCTTCTTCATGACAACCAGCAGCATGACGATGGAGGTGATGGCAGTGACGCAAGCGTTTGCCTGGCTTGAAATACAAAAATACACCCGTGTATGTATACTCAGTGATTCAATGAATATGATCCGGAGGGTTCAGGCAGGTTCAGTGCGAAGACAATGGCTTGAATCATTACAGAAGTCCACTGTGCGTGGAGTCACCTTTATTTTTGTTCCGGGATACGCAGGCGTCGATGGAAATGAAAGAGCTGACAGGTTGTCTGGATCCGCTATCACTACCGACGGTCAGCCTATGGATCATGCTGATATTATCAATGCCCTCAGAGAAATGGGAAGGATGGAGGACTTTGGTGGCAGTGAATCCACATCACTCGCCAGAATGGCAGACTTGGGAATTAAGATCGGCACAGCAAAAAACGAGACGCACACCAGACACGCCAGAAGACTTGTTAATCAACATAGAACTGGTACTATTAGTCATCGGACATTGGGGTTCATACTGAGGGGAGGATCTGAGCACCTATGGACATGTCCGGAGTGCAATGAGGATAACCCAACTAACTAACTAACTGGTCATTCCTCCCTTGCTGCGTTCCTTTGCCAGTGGAAATCATGCAAAATGTACTTCACTGTCCTATTACTTCATTTCCTCATTCTTCCTCTTCTTCTTCTTTGCGTTCATCAGCTTTAAACTACGTCGGAAAGTTTGGTTGTGCATCCACCTCTTGACATTAGTCTTGTTTCAGAACCTGAGTGTTGCATGCACCTCTGTTTTACAGATCTGGTATATTTGTGTGCATACTGTTGGGTCCTTGTCTCCCAGTCTGATGCACTCCAACTTCGAACGAAGACACCGTTTTGTCGATGTTACGACATGCTTGTTTCAGAGACAGTGTATCTGTTCTTGTTTTCTCCACTTGAGGCCTCAGAACCCACATAGGGAACTGTCCCATTTGAAACTTATTGAAATACATATCAGTCCAGAATCTTGAAGCTTGCACATGCTAAGTAAATGCATAAGTCAGATGGGCCAACACTAACAGTTTCCTGACAGAACTGCAGCTCTTTGTTGATGCAGACAGTCAGTCATGAAAGCTGACATTTGCACACGCAATAGTTTATAAGTACACTCTATTCTGAGCATAAGAGCCCATTCACCATTTTTAGTGCAGTTCACAACACAAAACCTCTGCGGGCACAAGAGACAAAGATTAAAAACTTCCACAGCTGACAGTGTCACAGCAAGCATGCAGCTCAGTAGCTGGACGACAGAACCTTTTGCACTCCAGGTCTGTCTGATAAGTTTGACTCCCAATATACTTGAGCTCCCAGGTCAACCAATCCTAAAATAGGTAGCAGAAAATGCTGTTACAGGAAAAGTGATGAGCATGATACAGACCACATCTAGGATGATTTTTTAAAATAAAAATTTGGTGATAGCCATGGATTTTTTCCTAGCAAACAAAAGTGCTGGCACTCTCCAAACAGTGTCTGTTACAGTAGCATTGATGAAAATGGTACTTCAAAAAGATCACAGTACTGACCACAGAGTGTCTATTACAGTAGCATTGAGGAAAATGATGTTTAAAAAAGATTACAGTACTCACCATGGCTATCCTCCGACTAACGGTCGGCAAAGATGGCGGCTGCAAAATATCCAGTTGAGCCACAGTCACGTGTCATGTGTTGTAAACAGTCAAAAATTGAAGTGGAAACTAACAAGGAACGAAAACTAATAAGGGGCGACAAAAATGTTATATCAAATCGACTACTTGACGATAATTGTATGCCTTTATATCTGGAAATTATGGCACAGACGTTCTAAATAGTGCTCGAAAATCTGCTGTTTGTGGCTGTTACGCTATTGCAAAGCTGCAGGAGATGTGGAAGCTGCTGCTCATGGGTCCCAGCCATCTAGTTTAGCCCCATCCGCGCCGCGCGTAGCGGCGCGGGAGAGACTCTTGGCGGCGAGTTTAACTCAGCGGTTTGTTCCGTTTCTTGAAATTTTCAACAGACTCTAATCCTAGTTTTGCTGCGATGTGCTCGTGACCGCAAGTGTGCAATAGACACGTGACTGTGGCTCAACTGAATATTTTGCGGCCGCCATCTTTGCCGACCATTAGTCGGAGGATAGCCCTCACCACAAAGTGTCTATTACAGTAGCATTGAGAAAAATGGTACTTAAAAAGATGACAGTACTCAAATAAATAAATCCTTCAACTGAAACACAAAATCTACTGTTTTGCCAGTAAACAAATCAATAGTTATTGTAGTATGTACCTGACAAGATACAGCAAATATGCCAGGCAATAAATTGTACAGTGTATTTGTGTCTTCTTTTGTTCGAATTCACAGCGGGAAACATTGCTTTGATTTCAGATGTAGACAAATATACATTTGATGTTTTCCGCTTATGTTATGAGGAAAACCTGGCTCAGTGTGATTCCTTGGTGTTGCCCAGTGACAGTCTTCAGGTAGATAAGATGGATACACCTATTTATTGCTTGTAACTTTATGCTATCAGGTTTTCTTGATCTAAATGTTACTTCTTTAACTATTCGTTACTTAATGTAATGGTAGTTTTTTTTAAATTTATCTAATTTATTAAACTAATTACTTCAGCTAACTTTTGAAATGTCATCAGTTTTCTTATTCACTACTGAACTCTTCCCAGTTGATGTGTTAAACTAATCATTGCTCACTAGTAAACTTTTCTCTATGGATTTGTTTAACAACTTAATTACTCATTACTGAAATCTTCTCTATGGATTTAACTACTTAATTACTCATTACTGAACTCTTCCAAATGGATTTGATGTACTACTTAATCACTAATACTGAACTCTTCTCTCTATGGATGTGTCCAACTACTTAATTACTAATTACTGAACTGTGTCCTATAGATTTGTTTAACTATTTAATTACTCGTTACTGAACACTTCCCAGTGGAATGTTTAACTACTTAATTACTCATTACTGAACCCTTACCAATGAATTTGTTTAACTATTTATTTACTCATCGCTGAACCCTTCCCTATGAATTTGTTTACTTCTTACCTTTCTGCCTTCCGAACGCTAAAACAAAAAAAAGGCCATAAGTGAACCTATGGGAATTCTAAAAAATTCCTTAAAATTTCTGAGATAACTAATAAAAACGGAATATTTTTGTTACAATGTTTCTGCATTTAAAATTTGTGTTGTTGAAAAATATTCAGATATATAAAGAGAGTAATCAATAAACATGAGAGAATGAAGCATTAGATGGAATACCTTCCCTTTGGCCAGGACTCCCTGACCTCTATCACTGAGGCTTCATGAAGATTGTGATATCACACTGGCTTTATAAAAGCCATTTTAAACACACAAAAACCCCCTAAATGTAATTTAATAAGCAGGCCTCCTGAACATTGGGCAAGCACGAACAGAAACCAGTGATGTTGAACTACACTTCTGGGTAAAGGTTACTGTGGACACTCAAGTTTAGCAGCCTCTAGGGGGGATGAGGCAATAAAGGAAATGTCCGGTTTGGGGCTTTCCAGGGTGACAGGGTTGCTTTATTTATCTGCTTATGCTAATTACTTTATCTTAACTTTTGACCAGTTATCAGTTTACCTGCTTATTACTGAACTCTTCCCTATATCTACCTAATTACTCATCACTTAAGATCATGTTTTTTAAATGTATTTATCTGTTGATACTAATTACTTCACCTAACTGTTGGATTCATGTTATTGGTTTATCTACCCATTATTGAATTCTTCCCTGAGAATGTATCTACTTAATTACTCATTACTTAATATATAAGGTGTTTTGTTTATCTGACCACACTTATTACCTCACTTAACTTGCATTTGTATTAGTTCACCTACTCATTACTTAATTCTTCTGTATGGATTTGAATTGTTATTACTATTGTGCAACCAGGCCAGCGAGGTGATTCTAAGAGTTTCTAACTTGATAAAGACAGATTTTGGAATGGGCAGGATTGTTCTCACAGACAAAAGGTGGGCTATTTATAAAGTTTAAAAAAAAAAAAGTTCAGAGCATCAACATCATTGTACCTTGTTTTATCTCACTTGTCTGTCTTCACTGTATGGCTAATAGGCTGTTGATATCAATTCACCAAGTATACTTCTTCTTCTTCTTCACGTTCACCGGCTGTAAACTTCGGCAGAAAGATTTGGTTGTTCTTCCACTTCTGGACTGCAATCCTATTTCAGAACCTGAGTGTTGTGTGTGAATCCATTTGACAGATCTGACTCATTTGCATGCAGACTGTTAGTTCCTTACCTCTCAGGCAGATAAACTCTGACTTTGACGGAAGGTCCCAGTTAGTCGACTCTTAAGACATGCTTTAGGGTAGGCAGTGTGTCTATTCTTGTTTTCCCCATAATAGGGCCCCTAAACCGCACTGGGAACACCAAGCATAGACTCTGTAGTTTCGACCCTGCAACTGGTGGTTTCAGTTGTGCATCTTCCCTAAAAGCTTTCGTAATCATTCAAATAGTTTCTGCAGAGGAATGTTGAAGATTAACACAAATGTTGATGTATATTCTTTGCTTTACTCATTCAGCCATTGTAAATGTGACAGTTGACTAATGCATATGCTCACTAAATGACGTTTAACTGTCACACTGACTGCTACAATGATGTCATCATTGCTTACAATTGTGCATGACGGGTTAGCTGTTTAGCTTCCTCAGTTACATCGGTGTCGTGCAAACCATTTTCTTTCATATTAATGATGATGTTTTTCAGACAGTTCTCATATAACGGAAGCTGAAATATTTCGGTCATATCAAGCGCCAGGGTGGATTGGAAAAAATAATAACAGAAGGCATGGTACCAAGAAGGAGGGGCAGGAGATGACCAGCACGAAGATGGGCACAGGATATGACTCCTTGAACATGAAAGTGCATAAGGTGGGAGAGCTGGCGAGAGACCGAGTTTCTTTCAGAGCGACGCTCTGCAAAAAACCCGCTACCTGATGACCTCTTATAATTTTTATACAAGCAGTACTTGCACAATTTATTGCCAGGCATAGTTTACTGTATCTTAAGGATACATTAGTACAAATGGGATGTTGAATAAAGAATCAAAATCACAGCACTCGAGAATTTCCTATAAGCGCTCCATAGCCATTTTCAACAGCAAGCACACAATTCCAGTTCTTGATAGCTTGGGTAATAGTCTGACTGTATATCCGACTCACCTTTCTCTTGAGTGTTGCGCCTTGACCCTTGGTCACGCCTTGCAGCACCATTTTCCTCTGACCTTGATGATCTGTACATGCATCCACACTGTTCACACGCTTCAAAAGGACCCTTACAAGATCTAGCTTGTCATGCATCAGTTTACCACCAAGACCTAACACACCACCATGACCTGGAGAAAATATCTGTACAAACAACAACAACAACAAAAAGCAGCCATACATACTTACTATAACCAAAGTCGTCCCCATGTGGGACGCAATGTTTCGTTACTTTGAAGCCCCACCCTGGCTTCTGCTGAGAGCCGCAATATAGCCTGGCGGTTGAACGTGGTTTCTGGAACCTCTCCACGGGTGATCCTCATCCACATGTTGGCACTTGTGTCACCAGGTGTTTATAGCTCTGTGTGATGTCCTGGTGGGGTAAATTTACTTATACAACAAAAGCCAACCACCCGGGATCTCTGAAATGATGCCTGCCACTCTGCGCAGAGTAGAAGGTGTCGAGGCCCACCTCTACTACGTTATAAAGATGTGTGCAAGCCGGACATGAATAATACAGGTGTTGCGGTGGACTTGTGGAAACAAAATGCCATTGACTGTGTTGTGTGGAGGAAGGGAATAAGAATGAAGGAAGAAATGACTGCAGAAAGAATGAGAGCCGAGCATCTGAGTAGAACACACTAAACACAAATGTTGACAACAATGGTCCTAAAATCTAATGTTATAACTGTGGAACACTCTTCTTAATCTGGGCGGGTCTTGCTAATCACACTGGCCATTGCTATGGGCTGTGAGTCCCATGCTGACTCATAGCACAATATAATACTTTTGTCTATAAAGACGGAAAGTTGCCAGTGACTATTAGTTAAAAAAATTTAAAAATACTGCTCTCATTCTCAGGCTGTTCTTCATTAAAGACGTCAGCAATAAATGCAGGGAGATAGTGAAGCTGAGAAATATTGCACAGTTGGAGAAAGTCCAGTACCACTCACTTCTTCGACCAGTAGATTGTCTACTGATTACTGAAACAGGTAATGATATATTCTTGTCCTTCTCGCTGCCAGTAGTTTTGTGGTGACAAGTCCACAGCCTCTATGCAGGCTGTACTGTGACACACATTCTCCACATGGGTGGCATGGCTAAGAAGACCTACTCAGGCCTATCTGCCTGCCACAAGAAAGAAACAAGGAAGAAACAAGAAAGAAACAAACAAGAAAGAAACAAACAAGAAAGAAACAAAAAAGAAACAAGAAGAGCCGCAAAGACCAACAAACTTAATTATAACTGAAGCTTATGTAGAAAATGGTCCAAGTTTTTACTTTTTTCTCTTAAATGAAATATCCTTCACTGATCCACGCAGCTTGGCTTCTACTAAAATTCATTCATTCATTCATTCATACCACATGGAGGTGCAGTAGGGTGTTTCCGTCCTTGAGACCAGAATGGCATTTCTCAGACCCTTGCAGTACTTTTAGAGAATCCAAAATGTTATACGGGTACACATTATTATTTTTTCTTTGCTTGTATTAATCACATTTTTTTGGGGCAGTACCCTGGACAGATAAAAAGAGTAGAGAAGATGTTTTTGAAAGAAAGTGACTGAATGGGAATTTGAACTTTTAGCTTGCTGCCGAAGATGAGGACGGAGCACTTATGGGAGTGTCCAGAGTGATATGATGTTGATTCTTAATTTGACATTGGCGATATGTCTGTTTATCCTAGGTACGGAAACATATGGGATATCCTGTAGTTAAGAAATGATGCTTGTACAGCCTGTCCTTACCCACATAGGACAGGAGGTTACTCCTCACTGGTGTAGGTATTACAGGCGCTGTAATTTTAACTTTAGAGGTTGAACCAGGTATTTAGGATCTGCCTTGTTGGTTTGCCGGCCAAACTAAGATTTTAAAAATCTGAGTATGGTATGTATTCGTTGGTTTTTGATGCTCATTGTGAGAAAAATATGAATACACCCACTGCCTCCCCAGCAAGCATGTCGTAGATGTCGACTAATTGGGGAAATTCCTTTGAAATCAGAGTGCTTCTGACTGAGCGGCAAGGAACAACCAACTGCACACAAATAAGCCAGTAAAATGGATGTACATACAAAACTCAGGCCCTGGCACAAAGCCGAAGTTCAAGTGGGTGAACAACCAGGACTTTCCACCAGAGCTTCGCTTGTAGCTGGTGAACGGAGAAGAAAAGAAGAAGTATGGTATGGTGAAATTGTAAGTAGCAACCAAGAAGAAACACACCGACCAGTTGCTCGAATAGTATACATATCTGGCTTGTAACCCAAAACATCAAACACTTTGCTGTGCTAACATGGCTGCCTGTGCACCTTGGCTACCATGACAGTTGAGTTCAGTTGAGAATCCACATCACAGCACTCAGAGCATTTCCATGTGTACTCCGTCCTCATCTTCAGCAGCCAGCATAGAGTTCCAGTACTGATGGTACCGGACACAGTCTGGTTATATGTCCGTCTTGCCTTTCCTCTGAGTGTAGTGAGCCGGCCAGACGCTCTGGTTACACCCAGGTGCCTCATTCTCTCCAGGCCATAATAATCTTCTTTTTCTACTGATTCCGTTGTTTGTTCCCAAAGAGCCTTGACCACATCTACCTTGTCATGTATCAATTCACCACCCAGTGGTGCAGATCCAGCCAATCTGTCTGCCTGTTTATTACCCACCACGCCAGCATGGCCTGGAGAAAAGATCCAAAGTATGCTCACTACCTGTGACCTTCCAAGTAAAGCTTGCCACTCTGCTCGAAACATCCCTGTCTTCACCTTTCTCAGCATGCTTTCAGAGTCTGTTACAATCATGACATGTGTATGCATAGAAAGTATGAACATATCTGTATGTATAAACATAGCCTGTCACATGCTATAAAGCTGTGCTGAGACCTGGCATTTCCTGACCACAGGCAACAAAGTCAAGTTTACTGCATGGTTGAAAGCTGACAGAAACTGCTGGGCAGCTTTGATAGAAGAGATGAGAGCAGGCAAGACAGTGGCAGAGGCTATCAAGGACTTTGCTGCCATTGGTCATGCTATTCACAATGTACTTTTGATTGATGCAGTCATACGCAGGTTTGTATTGCAACAGTTGTTTTTGTTGTTGCTAGTTGGTTGCTAACTGCTTCCTTTTAACAGTTCAGTTGTCCTGAACTGAGAACGGTATCGTCAAGAAAATTTGGGCCTTTTTGTTAAGAAAATTTAGGCCTTACACCAAATCCTTAGGTACCCGGGTTGGAGTCTGTCTTGAGTGCTGGAGGTCTCGGGTTCAAAGCCCAGTAAAGGTTGGAATTTTTTTTCATTTGGACTTCTAGTAATTTCCCCTGGTCTCTGGGTAGTAAGACTAGACGCCCGTGTATATTGTTGTGCATGTAAAAAAATCCCTTGGCAGTTGGAAATCCAAAAAGAGTAGCCTAGCGGCGGTGCCCTGGCCAAATTTTGAGTTTAAAATCTACCCAAAGTATTTCAGCCGGTGCTACAGAGTTCGTGCACGATGCTAAGATTCTTCGCACTCAGGCTTGAGTCAGAAGTAGAACGGAGCACTTATGGGTTATATTACCCTTGCGCCATGATGTTGATACGTCGTCTAAATCTAAACATAAATAAATTTATTTTGATGTCACTTTGCTCTATGTGGCTGTGTCAACAATACCCCTGTTTTCTTAGTAAAATGGAAGAAAATCAGTTTTTGTTTATTTTTTGTTGTTTTTGTGTTCCATTTGTATTCAGGGATTGCTTGCTTTCCAGTACAAAAAATCACCTTTGTGCAAAATGAAACTTAGTTGTGTATTCTTTACAGGACGTTGCAGAACCAGCCTCAGCATTGTTTGGTCTATTTTTCTAGGCAAATCTTACGTTCAGTAGTTTGCCATTTCTTTCTGAACTATCAGCTCTCAGTACCACTGTCAAAACCAACGCGAGGCAGGCCGTCCGCAGCTTGGATCGAACCCAGCACCCCGGCATTACAAAACGCTTTCCTAAAGCCTAAGCTACATATACCCTGCAAAATAATGACTCTAAATAGGAAAAATCCCATCTTTTTAGTGAGTTGGGGGCCTCAGTGGCACAGTAGCTAGCAGGCTTGCCTGTCTGCTTGGTGGTCAATGGTTTCAATCCCGTAGAATTTTATAAACACTGACCAGGACTGAAAACTTCTTCTTCTTCATCCTCTCATCCTCTGTTTCTTAGGCAGGGTTTCAGAAAAATGTACCATTGTGTTTGATTTTTTAAAAATTTGAAACATTTTTTAAGGATTTTTACAAGGTAAGTAAAGTAAAGGTCCCTATGCCACGCCTTTAGGCATGTTGGGGATATAGGGTTAGAACTATATTTTTTTAATCAATCGGCACTTGGTGGGTGATGTGGTCAGCATTGCGCTGGCTGCCTTTACTTTCCAGGACTGCACCTGGTACCCATTCAAGGCTGGGTCGGTCTGGGAGTCAAGGTCATTAAAAAATGCGGGCGTCTAGCCACCAACGCCACAGCAACTCCTTTTTTACGGGGGTTAAAGGGTTCAAAAATAGCATATCTAAGCATAAGTGAGGAACCAACAATCTGCATACAGATAAGCATACAAATGAATAGGGGACACTAGAATAGAAAATAACCACATGTGAAATGCACTGTCTCCGCAAGGTCACTAACAACACAAGAAGAGACAGGGTTATGCATACCAGCATTAGAGATAAAGTTGGAATAAGACCATGTCTGGATACATTGACAGACAAAGAATGAAATGGTTCGGCTATCTAGTGAAAATGCAACCAGGCCAAACTGCATGTGAGATTTTATACAGCAGAACTTCTGGGAGAAAGTTGACAGGAAGACCTAGAAAGAGTTGAATAAATGGTATACCCGAAATCTGCAAGAAGACTAACAGATCCTTCACCCAAGCCACCCAAGAAGTGCAAGACAAATAAGGAAAACCACAACACTGGGGTACAACCTGGTGTCAGTGAGACAACAAAAGAAGAAGAAGAATAAGCAGATCTGTAAAAACAGATGTGCACCTCAAACTCAAGTTCTGGAACAAGACTAGTTGAGTCCAGAATTGACGTCACAGAACTCAGGGCATTCCCATGTGTGCTCCATTCTCATTTTCAGCAGCCAACGCAGAGTTCAAATACTGATGGTACCAGTCACAATCTGGTTAAATGTCCGTCTTTCCTTTCCTCTGAGTGTAGTGAGCCGGCCAGACCCTCTGGTTACACCCAGATGCCTCATTCTCTCCAGGCCGTAATAATTTTGTTTCTCTACTGATTCTGTAACTTGTTCCCAAAGGGCCTTGACCACATCTGCCTTGTCATGTAGCATTTCACCATCCAGTGGTGCAGATCCAGTCAATCTATCTGTCTGTTCATTACCCACCATGCTGGCATGACCTAGGGAAAAGATCCAAAGTATGCTCACTACCTGTGACGTTCTCAGTGAAGCTTTGCCACTCTGCTCAAATCATCCCTGTATTCACCTTTCTCAGCATGCTTTCAAAGTCTGTTACAATTACGAAATGTATTGGAACAAGACTAAAAGTGGATGAGTAACCAGAACTTTCCATCAGAATTTATAGCACATACAAATGCTAAGAAGAAGAAGATTATTTATCTTGAGCTGTATGTTTCTGTCTCCTCCAGTGGCCAGGATGAGTTGGTGGCTCACTATGGGCAGGTAACTCATGCAGCAGAAACTCTGTGTTACTTCACTGCATACATGGCTGAAGGTCGGCATATCCTGCCACGGGACACCACTTCAGCTCTTCAACGCAGGGTGGATCCCAATATCGGACAGCGTGAAAGGAGGTCAGTCCTGTGTATGCTCTATACAGCAGGCCGTAAGTATATTTTGACACCTCTAATGATTGGTTATATTATAAACAGCATATTCATACCAACACTGTGCTATTTAATGATTGGTTAGATCATAAACAGCATATTCATGCCAACACTGTGCTATTTAATGATTGGTTAGATCATAAACAGTTTATTCATACCAACACTGTGCTACCATAGACGGGGCCCAATTTTGGAAAAAACAAGAATAGAACCACTGCCTACCCAAAAGCATGTCGTAAGAGTCGACTAATTGGGGAGCTTCCTTTTAAGTCAGAGTGCATCTGCCTGAGAGGCAAGGAACCAACAGTCTGCATTCAACTGAATCAGATCTGCAAAACTGATGCACACGAAACACTCAGGTTCTGGAGCAGGATTGCAGTTCAGAAGTGAACGAACAACCAGAACTTTCACCAGAGTGTACAACTGGTGAACGCGAAGAAGAAGAAGAACTACGAATGCAGGTGTTACACATGAAAAGATCTGAAGTGAAAGCCAGAGGTCGTCCTAGGAGAAGATGGACTGATGACATTAAAGAGCTTCTACATCGACACAGAATGACAGTAGCCATTACTGCCCATCAAGCAATGGATTGTCAACTGTTTCTCCCCACAACTCTCAAAGGCAGAAGTGGAAACTGAGGATGATGATGAATGATTGGTTTGTTGGCGGTCGGTTGACTGTCTGGTTGGTTAGTTGGCTGGTTGGCTAGCTAGTTGGTTGACTGTCTGGTTGGTTAGTTGGCTGGTTGGCTAGCTAGTCGGTTGACTGTCTGGTTGGTTAGTTGGCTGGTTGGCTAGCTAGTTGGTTGACTGTCTGGTTGGTTAGTTGGCTGGTTGGCTAGCTAGTCGGTTGACTGTCTGGTTGGTTAGTTGGCTGGTTGGCTAGCTAGACGGTTGACTGTCTGGTTGGTTAGTTGGCTGGTTGGCTAGCTAGTCGGTTGACTGTCTGGTTGGTTAGTTGGCTGGTTGGCTAGCTAGACGGTTGACTGTCTGGTTGGTTAGTTGGCTGGTTGGCTAGCTAGTTGGTTGACTGTCTGGTTGGTTAGTTGGCTGGTTGGCTAGCTAGTCGGTTGACTGTCTGGTTGGTTAGTTGGCTGGTTGGCTAGCTAGTTGGTTGACTGTCTGGTTGGTTAGTTGGCTGGTTGGCTAGCTAGTCGGTTGACTGTCTGGTTGGTTAGTTGGCTGGTTGGCTAGCTAGTCGGTTGACTGTCTGGTTGGTTAGTTGGCTGGTTGGCTAGCTAGTCGGTTGACTGTCTGGTTGGTTAGTTGGCTGGTTGGCTAGATAGTCGGTTGACTGTCTGGTTGGTTAGTTGGCTGGTTGGCTAGCTAGTCGGTTGACTGTCTGGTTGGTTAGTTGGCTGGTTGGCTAGCTAGTTGGTTGACTAGTTGGAACGACTGGCTCAGTGTTTGGCTCGATGTTTGATATTCATGTCGTTTGGTGTCCAGAAAATATCTATTGAAGTGATGTTGGTTTACGCTCCTTCCCACCTTTTAGAGAAGTACCATCTCTACAGTATCAGTGTTGTAGAGTTGTCCTCTCAAACTCTGAAATCATCAGGGCGTTCAAGGCCAGTATTGTAACTTCACAGCTACTGAGAGGTGCAAAGAGAGTATTTTATGGGGAGCTCCAGCAAGGGAAGAGGTCTCATGGAGGACAGAAAAAGTGCTATAAAGACACTCTCAAGGCTGCTGTCAATTCTTTTGGCATCAACACAGCCACGTGGGAGGCTGCTGCACAAAGCCGCTTTGGACGGCGTACGTTCCTCAGACATGGTGCATCAGCCTGCCAAGCCGCAGAGGTTGCACTGGCAGAGAAACGGAGGCAAACTAGAAAGAACCGTATTGCTAATCCACACTTACTGCAGCTTCCACCTGTTGTCTGCACTGCTCAAGAACATTCCAGGCCTATATTGGACTAATCAGCCACCTTCATACTCATAATTATTTGATCATTACTACTTTGGATGAAACAACACATTGAGAGGTGCAGGAAGATTTAACCAGACAATAATTGAGCACACAACATGTGGACTGGATGACATTACTCTTTTAGTAGCAGACAACTCGTCAATAATTTATTTAATGCTCTTGCTGTCTTCTGTCACAGACTTACCTTTCACTAATTCTGGTTTAAGAAAAACAAACTGAATTATTAGTTTAACCCTACCTGAGCTGAGGCCCTGAACCTAACTGTCTCCTATACCTGAGCTCCTGGGCATTAATGCGAAAAAACCAACATGATGTACAAAAATGTTAGTTACATGCAAACAAGTGGCTAGAATAAGATGAAACTTGGAGACATTGTAGAAAATAGGCTTACCTTTTATCTAGCACCAAAATTCCACCTTTGTGTGCCAATTCACTCAGGAGGATCAGGCTTTTTTCACAAAGTGAACTCCAGATATTGCTGTTTGAGGGATACGCCCCTTTATCCTACTATTGATCTATTTCTAGATTTATAATTTTCAATCTTCCCCTCATCATTCGAGCTCTCACTGACTGTTACTTCAACTGTGAACATATTCTTCATGAAATTATGACTCCGCAGAGTCTGAATAAACCAAAGTATTGATCACCTGTTGGACTGTGAAAAGCCTAGACCTACTTTACTTTCCTGTTGAAGTGCTGGGTTCATCAGCGGTTCATTTCATTAAGAATTTTCAGAATTTTTTTTTACATAAAACAATACAAATGTAATCCAAACACGTGTGGGTGGACATCTGGGAAGACTATCCATGAGGTCTGATTATGATTGGCTAGTTATTTTTAGTCTGTGACGAATTTTTTCACGTACTACACAAATTGCTGAAAATTAGGGACAGTGGTATAGCGTCAGGTTAAGAAATTTCCGAAAAATTGGGTCAGTGGTCTGGTAGGGTTAACTCTTCTACCCCATAGTGTCTCTGCTAAAGCTCTTCAGACCTAAGCAGGTGTTGCTTTTAGGTTCACCACCTTGGGGATGAAGGTGTTAAATTAAGAGCTGCTTGAGACTGTAGGTTTGGTCATGTTTCCTCCATGGATTTTTGGCTATTTCATTGTCAAGCAACTGGGGGTCTCAGTGGGCAAGTGGTCAAACCATTTGTCTCACGCTCTGAAGGTCGTGAGTTAGTTTGAGGGCGGCTCTGTTCAATTTACGAGTGCAATTTTTTGGAGACCCCTGGCGATCGTCGCCGGAGCTATGGAGGTCATGCTCTGTGTGACACTCTTGGCAGGCAGCTAGCTGCTCCTACAGGGAGAGACAGCCACATAGGATAAAACCCGGTTGAATGAAGTTGATTCTGTCATCTTTACCTTTACCTCTCCCTGTCAGCAGACTCAAACACATTGTCTCTTGGCCTTTATGTGGTCAATATTTAAACAGTAAAGGATCTTTATCATGCAAACGCAACAGCAAGTATATGATGCTAGGCTCATAATGTGTATAGACCAGTGGTCACTCAAACAGTAATGTGGTCAGCCTCATGCTGGCCACCTTTACTTTGCCTTGTACCCATTTTAAGCTGAGCTGAGATGGGAGCCAAAGTTATTTAAAAACATTCTTTGCCTTGTACCCATTTTAAGCTGAGCTGAGATGGAAGCCAAAGTTATTTAAAAACATTCTTTGCCTTGTACCCATTTTAAGCTGAGCTGAGATGGGAGCCAAAGTTATTTAAAAACATGCTTTACTTGATGTGAATTGAAACTTAAGACCTCCAGGCCAGCATACAAGCATTTAGCTGAAAAAAAGTACAAAGTAAAGCACCATTTTAAACACCTTCAGACATATTTAGCATGTAGAACTAGACCTATATTTCATAGACCAGAGATGTGTCAACATCATGCCAATTGCCTTTATTTCCCAGGACTTTACCTGGTAACCATTTAAGATTGGGTCGACCTGGGAACCAAGGTCATTCATTTAAAAAAAAAATTAAACTGGCTGCCGTGTACCTTGGCTACAGTAATATTCAGCATTTGAACATATCTGGCTTGTACCATGACATCTAGTACTACACTGTGCTAACACCTTGGCTGCCACATATCTGGCTTGTACCATGACATCTAGTACTACACTGTGCTAACACCTTGGCTGCCACATATCTGGCTTGTACCATGACAACTAGTACTACACTTTGCTAACACCTTGGCTGCCACATATCTGGCTTGTACCATGACATCTAGTACTACACTGTGCTAACACCTTAGCTGCCACATATCTGGCTTGTACCATGACATCTAGTACTACACTATACTAACACCTTGGCTGCCACATATCTGGCTTGTACCATGACATCTAGTACTACACTATGCTAACACCTTGGCTGCCACATATCTGGCTTGTACCATGACATCTAGTACTACACTGTGCTAACACCTTGGCTGCCACATATCTGGCTTGTACCATGACATCTAGTACTACACTGTGCTAACACCTTAGCTGCTACATATCTGGCTTGTACCATGACATCTAGTACTACACTATGCTAACACCTTGGCTGCCACATATCTGGCTTGTACCATGACATCTAGTACTACACTATGCTAACACCTTGGCTGCCACATATCTGGCTTGTACCATGACATCTAGTACTACACTGTGCTAACACCTTGGCTGCCACATATCTGGCTTGTACCATGACATCTAGTACTACACTGTGCTAACACCTTAGCTGCCACATATCTGGCTTGTACCATGACATCTAGTACTACACTATGCTAACACCTTGGCTGCCACATATCTGGCTTGTACCATGACATCTAGTACTACACTGTGCTAACACCTTGGCTGCCACATATCTGGCTTGTACCATGACATCTAGTACTACACTGTGCTAACACCTTGGCTGCCACATATCTGGCTTGTACCATGACATCTAGTACTATTATGTGCTAACACCTTAGCTGCCACATATCTGGCTTGTACCATGACATCTAGTACTACACTATGCTAACACCTTGGCTGCCACATATCTGGCTTGTACCATGACATCTAGTACTACACTGTGCTAACACCTTGGCTGCCACATATCTGGCTTGTACCATGACATCTAGTACTACACTGTGCTAACACCTTGGCTGCCATAATAATATGTGTGTAAACATACCTGGCTCAAAGTCACAGACATCTGATACTCCTTCTGTTGTGGTGGTGAACAGGCTCGTACAACAGCATCCCTCCCAGGCTGTGGTGTGCCATGGGTAATGGTCAGGTGAGAGTGTTTGATGCCACCAGCTGGACACTGGAGGAGAGCTTCATACAGGCCAAGAACACAGTGGTCAGTTATCTGATAATCTTCTTTTTTTTTTTTTTCGTGCTCGACACCTGAATATTCTGGTGGAAAGTTCCAGAACTGGAGTTTTGCATGCACATCCATTTTACAGATCTGGTTTATTTGTAGCACACTGTTGGTTCTTTGCCTCCCAGGTGTTCTTCTACTTCTGGACTTCAGTCTAGTTCCAGAACTGGAGTTTTGTGTGCACATCCATTTTACAGATCTGGCTTATGTGTATGCTGACTGTTAGTTCCTGGCCTCCCAAGTAGAAGCACTCTGACTTTGAAGCAAATAAATAGCCCTAAATAGTCGACTATTCTGACTTGCTTATTATGGTTGCAGTGTGTCTTTTTCCCCCAAAACTGGGGCCTCAGAACACACACTGGGATTTCTGTCGCAACCAGTGCACTGTGGGTAATTGGGTATTAAAAGGTTAAAGTCGAGAGGAACGACTTCATTGCACCGGGTTTTTATCCCATTTGGCTCAGTCTCTCTCTGCAGAATGGCCGGCCGCCTGTTGGAGGCCATTGATATAAACTCAAAAACACAAAGAGAACTTATCACAACCAAATTTTTTTTTTAATTTAAAAAAAAAAATATTTTAATACTCAGATTTGCATTTTGAAGAATTAACATCTAAAGGAATGAAAAGCAAACTAAAAACCCGGTTCAACCGTTTAACCATATGGCACAGTGCACAGGTATATTGGTAACCTATAGTCCAGTGTGGGTGGGTTACTGTGGCAACTAAATTGAGTTTTAAAGAAAGTATGTAGTAGTAGAAGATTTTTACCCCACTAGTACATCACACAAGCGATAAACACCTGATGACACAAAGTGCCACCATGTGGATGTTGATCAACCGTGGAGAAGTCCCAGAAACCGCTTTCAGCCATTAGACCATATTTATGGCCGGGCTGTATTGGGGCCCCTGGCAAGAGCCAAAGTAGGGCTTCAAAATAATGAAAAAGTGCATCTCACAAGGAGATAACTAAAATAAGAGAAAATATGTTTTGATAGATGCTTAATATTGAAGACAACTTGTTAAAACCAGAATGTATAGTAACTATTTGACTTGTGTGTGAATTTCCAGTCTGCGTTGGTTGCTGTGGGGGATTCTCAAGTGTGGGCTGGATCTCATGGAATCTTTATCATCGACACGGAAACAGTCAGCTGCAACAAGACCTTGACAGATCACCCTGACCTTGTTGTGGACATCATTCTCACACATCAGGGGAGGTAAGATCTATTTTTGTTTGGCTTTTGTTTTGTTTTGGACAACATTCTCAAATGTCAGGGGAGGTTATTCGTATCTTTTGTTTGTTTGTTTTTTGCGGACATCATTCTCACACATCAGGGGAGGAAAAGTTCTGTTTTGTTTGTTCATTTGTTTCAGACATCATTCTTAACTGTCAGGGGAGGTAATTCTTATTTTTGTTTGTTTGTTTAGGACATCATTATCACACATTCAGGGAGGTAATTTCTGTTTTTGTTTCGGACATCATCTCAAATGTCATGGGAGGTAATTCTTATTTTTATTTGTTTGTTTCAGACATCATTCTCACACATCAGATGGGGTAATTCCTAGTTTTGTTTGTTTCGGACATCATTCTTTAATGTCAGGGAAGGTAATTCTTATTCATGTTGACATCAGTCTCACACATTAGGTTGTCTCATCTATGTTTTGTCTTTTGTTGTTGGTTGGTTCGTAAACTCTTTCACTTTCAGGAGACTTAAGTTTTAATTCTTCTCACAGTGTGCATTGGCATTTGGGACATCTGAGACCTGGCAAAGTACTCCATCTGCCAGAGTGAGGTTAGAGACTGTTCTGAAAACCTAGTATCAAAGTACTATCTTTACATGTTTTGCTGAGATCTCCTTTCCATCTCTAAGCTTAGAAGTCACATCCTTACCTGAACATTACATCTAGTTTCTATGATCATTACAGGTACCATAATTATAACTTCTCTTGATGTTGAAAGGGGTATGTGGGATTTGTCCTTTTTGCTTGCCTGTTGTGGTATGTCCATGTGCCGTGTGAATGAAGTTCAACTCCACCAGGATCTCACAATGAGTGATAAACACCTGGTGACACAAAGTGGCACCTATCAGATGAGGATCACCGAGGCACAAGTCCCAGAAACCTCGTTCAACCATTAGGTTGTATTGGGACTGTTAACAACAGCCAGAGTGGGGCTTTAAAATAATAAAAAAATTGTTTCCCATAAAGGGAGGCAACTAACGTATGGTGTATTGTGCCAGGCAGTGCAAGCCATTATTGCTTGGCTCTTTTCATTAATTTTCTCACAGCTCATGTTTAATGAATTTACTAAAAATTAATGTGAAAAAACACAGAATCACATGAAAATTCACACTTATGGCGTGTTTTTGTTTAAATCCAGAAACCATTAGTTGTAAACTATTTGGCTTGGTACTATGGATATCGCAACCCTTCGGCCTTGATTCCATGATAGATACCATAAATCTAGGAACTATGTGTCTTTTCTGCCTACCCCCATAGTTTGAACTCAGTCCACAAGGAGTTTGTCACCCAGTCGCCATGCAGCTGGTTTAACTAACTTAGCTGGCACGCCAGGCAGCATGGTTTGTTCACTGTATGGTAGCAGCTGGCCTACTGAAGCTCGTAAGCACTTTGCCATGACAGTGGTAAATAAGGGTAGTGCCACAGTGTCATGACTCATTATGACTTATACAAGTTCCGTCATGTGAGTCACAATCCAAACAAAGATCATACAATAAGCAACTGTGTTCATATCTAAACAGAACATGTACCAAGTTGAACTTATGAGATACTGCTCTTACCTCTCCCAGCAAAGACTGTGGATCTGGCCCAAGGGAGCCACATTGCAAGAGAAGCTATGGGACACAGGTGGCGACCTTAAACGCACAATCCTATTTTTGACCCAGACGGGACTCAAAGTTTAGCATGACTGATGTCGAACGCAGAAGAAGAAGAACTTATGAGAAAGTTTACAGATACTGAGATACTGTAATTAGTTCTCTTTTACGTCATTCTTGTTACAAGGCAGTAGATTTCTTCTGTTGCCCCCCAGGTTAAGCCCTGGTAACCACACAGGACTAACCTGCGTAAAATGAACACCTGTGAAATGAGATGCCTGGGAAAATCCGCCAACTTAACCATCTGAGTTTGCCAAAGGGCAGAAGCTCATGCGCCGCTGGATCGATAACAACAACAACCACAACCATCCGAGACAAAGTCAGAAATGATATTATCAGACAGACTGTAGGAACAACACTGTTCAGCAGATTTATTGAGAAACAGAAGGTCAGATAGTTTGGTCATTTAGTAAGAATGCAGCCAGAACAACTACCAATGCAGGTTTTACACATGAAAGGATCTGAAGTAAAAGCAAGAGGTCGCCCTAGGAGAATATGGATTGATGACATTAAAGAGCTCCCACACGGAATGACAGTAGCCATTGCTGCCCATCAAGCAATGGATCGCAAACTGTTCCTCCCCACAACGCTTAACGGCAGAAGTGGAAACTGATGATGATAATGTTGATGATGATGGTGGTGGTGGTGAACCACACAGGGAACGATATGGATGAAGTCCAAGATCATAAAGCAGCCATCTATGTTGTATTTCCCCAGGTATATCTACAGTGGTAGTGTGGACGGCACCATCCTTCAGTGGGAGCTACAGACTCTGAGAGTTATACAAAAGATCACTTTGCCCAATGTCCAGAATCTGCGCAGCTTAAGGCTGTACAATGACAGACTCTGGTGTGGTAAGTTAAAGTAATACAGTTCATCTGTTTTTGTGCAGATTAGTGACAGAGGTTAGTGAATGAGATTAACAGTTTCATGATCCTTGGGTTAAATTAGTTGCCTATCCTTTAATCAGTGGTCTCCAACCTGGGGGGGGGGGGGGGGGGGGGGGGCCACAAGGAGGTTTCAAGGAGGGAGTCAAGCCATTTTGATAGTTAGTTCACTTGTACTTGTAATAATCCATTTTACTTATATTTTGGTTTATTTTAATCATAAATACAAAATTTTTTCAAAACGATTTATTAAACAAAACGACAAGGTCATTGTCTTGTGAGGAATTTGCATATCTGCAGTTTAAATTCTAATTAATAGTGTAACATGCGCATTCAATTATAGATTAACAACACATTCTGAGCAAAATATATCGCAATACTTTCTGTTTTTCTTGTTGTGAAATATATTATCCTCCTCTTTTTAATCATGTTATGTTAGGGATGGGGCAGAGGAGGGGTCTTGCAATATACTCACAGGGGATGGGAGGGTTGGGAGAAAATTTTGAGTTAAAAATCTACCCAAAGTATTTCAGGATCCTTGCCAGTGCTACAGAGTCTGTGCACTGTGCTGAGCTTCTTCGTAATCAGACTTGAGTTAGAAGAAGATCGGAGCACTTATGGGTTACTATCCATGTGCCATGATGTTGATCGATTGCTCAGACTTCAAACTTTAAACTTCAGTCCCAAGGCTGTATTTGTCTGTTCTGTGAGACTAAAATCTTACAGAGGATTTGAAGCTGGGTCTCCCACATAAGAACACTGCATTCTCAACTGTTCGTCCAACCACTTCTAGCTATTACCATAAAGTATTTCTAAATCTCAGAATAGATCAAGAAGAAACTGTGCATAATTGTGTTTTCTTCCCCACATATATTTCTGTTAATCAGGAACATGGCATTGCATCACAGCATTAGACCTGGAGGGCACCCCACTCCAGGTGTTCACACACACTCAGGACAGCATTGGCAAGCGGATAGAGCTGGACTGCTTTGAGGTCTTTAACAATGAGGTTTGCCTGTAACTTCCTCATTTCATTTTGGATAGTTGGTGGTGCCTTATGCGATTAATTGTGTGTGTTTTGTAACTACTGCTTCCATTGACGATGAATTGCATCTCTAGTGTCAGACTGTTTGTGTTGGCACTTCTGATGACGGCCTTATGCATTTATGCCTGTGTATGATATTGGCTTTGCTGACTATATGGTGATGATAATAATAAGGTAATGCATTAACCCTTTGGAGATGATCTGGCCAATCTATCGGCCCAACACAAAATAGCCAAAAAGACGGCTGGGCCGATTGGTCAGCCCTGTATAATGCAAGCCTTGAGATTGGCTGGCACTTTTTGTACCAGTCAGTCAGATTGCTTCTCATATTTATTGCACATGTGGGCTGTTCAGTGACGGCTATCAAAAAAATTTTGATATGTTCTGTAATTTGACAGCAATTTTTGTGTGGGGTTACCTGTGCTCAACACTGACAAAAACGACTGTTGCGTCATAACAACCCAAACATAGCAGGAGGCAGGGAAAGAAATAGAACTATGTTCCAGAAGTATCTGAAGGGCCTCCATGGGCCTTACTTCCCAAAACACAAATGTTAGGACTTATTCAGGCTTCATCCATAAAATGATCCACCCACATTTTTCAGGTTAGTCCCAAGAAAAAAAAAGCTTGCATACATTATGCAAAGCAGAATAGTTAATTTGAATACATGTTGAGATTTCAGTTTAATTCATAAATATTCTGTTAGCTCATTTAATTTCCTACATGATATAGTTCAAAATATGTTAATTAAATGCTTAATATGTTTATAATTGTTTGTGTGTAAGCTAAGAGAATCCCCTACTGAAGGCTCCGCATTTTTTGGCACTGAAACTCCAAAAAGGCTCTGTCTCCAAAGAGTTAAATTTAAATCTTGCTCCTCTCTGTTGTAAACAGTTAATGCAATCAGTATTAAAGTTCGCTCCTCTGTGTTGTACTAAGTTAATGCAGTATGTAGTACATCTTGCCTCTCTGTGTTGTAATAAGTTGAATCAATCAGTATTAAAGTTTGCTCCTCTGTGTTGTACAGTAAAACCTCGCTTAACGAGCACCTCGCATAACAAGTAATTCGCATAACGAGCAAAACAAATTGTATAAAAATGACTTGCTTAACGAGCGACGTTTCGCATAACGAGTGGCGAGGAGAGGGGAAGTCCCAAATTGTGCGCATGTTACATCAGTCTGTGTTTAGCACTCGTTCCAGTAGCATCGTAGTGTTGCTTGTGATCACACATTTTCTCAAACGTGTGTTATATTGTGATATATGTACATGAATCCTCCAGGCCTACAAGATGACCTCTTTAAAGAATTTAAGTTCATCAAGATCCAATTTCTGCTTTCCAACACCACTCCGTTACTCCAGCTCATGGACAAGCAAGTTATTTCTAACTTTAAGAAGCTCTACACTAAAGCACTCTTCGAGCATTGTTTTCAGGTGACTGAAGGGACCAACCTCACTCTCAAAGAGTTTTAGAGACAAATCACGTCCACATTGTTGCTTGCCTCAAGATAATCGACAAGGCGGGAGAAGGGGTTACCAAGAGAATCTTAACTTCTGCCTGGAAGAAGCTTTGGCCGGAGAGTGTTGTCTATTTTGTGACTTTGAGGGGTTCAAGACAGTGAAACCTGTAGTCAACGAGATTGGGTCTTTGGCCACTATCATGGGGTTGTAGGTGGATAACAGTGATATCAAAGAGCTTGTGGAAGAGCACAGCCAAGAGCTGCGTTTTGGAGGAAAGTTTGTCCAGAAAAGTAACAGAAAGAGGTAACAGAAAAGCAACAATTTTCTGGCAAGAAAAATGCTGAAAGCATGGCGAACTGTTGCATCTTACATTGAGAAGCATCGCCCTAATAAGGAAGTGGCTATGCGCGTTGCAAATTTATTTAATGATAATGCTGTGTCGCATTTTCGCCAAATTTTGAAGCGTCGGCAAAAACAAATCTCTGGACATCTTTCTAGTACAAAAAATTATTAGCTATGTATCATAATTATTTCGACTTTTTTTTCTGCAAATCGAATTTGCATTCCTTGTGGGTTCATTATGCGTTTGAAGAAAAGATGAAGGTGATCCACTCTCCTTAACAATATGTATATAATTTTCTTTGAATAAACGTTATACACAGCATTTTGTGAGTATCTTTTTCGACATGGAACGCATTATCGTATTTTACATTAATTTATATGAGAAAAATTGTTTCGCATAACGAGTGTTTCGCTTAACGAGTATGATTCTGGAACGAATTATGCTCGTTAAGCGAGGTTCCACTGTACTAAGTTAATGCAGTAAGTAGTACATCTTGCTCCTCTGTGTTGTACTAAGTTAATGCAGTAAGTAGTACATCTTGCTCCTCTGTGTTGTACTAAGTTAATGCAGTAAGTAGTACATCTTGCTCCTCTGTGTTGTACTAAGTTAATGCAGTAAGTAGTACATCTTGCTCCTCTGTGTTTTAATAAGTTAATGCAATCAGTATTTAAGTTTGCTCCTCTGTATTGTAATAAGTTAATGCAATCAGTATTTAAGTTTGCTCCTCTATGTTGTAATAAGTTAATGCAATCAGTATTTAAGTTTGCTCCTCTATGTTGTAATAAGTTAATGCAGTAAGTAGTACATCTTGCTCCTCTGTGTTGTAATAAGTTAATGCAGTAAGTAGTACATCTTGCTCCTCTGAGTTGTACTTAGTTAATGCAGTAAGTAGTACATCTTGCTCCTCTGTGGTGTACTAAGTTTAAGCAGTAAGTAGTACATCTTGCTCCTCTGTGTTGTACTAAGTTAATGCAGTAAGTAGTACATCTTGCCCCTCTGTGTTGTACTAAGTTAATGCAGTAAGTAGTACATCTTGCTCCTCTGTTTTGTAATAAGTTAATGCAGTAAGTAGTACATCTTGCCCCTCTGTGTTGTACTAAGTTAATGCAGTAAGTAGTACATCTTGCCCCTCTGTGTTGTACTAAGTTAATGCAGTAAGTAGTACATCTTGCTCCTCTGTTTTGTAATAAGTTAATGCAATCACTATTAAACTCCTTCGTGTTGTAAAAAGTTAATGCAATAAGTATTAAAGTTTGCTCCTCTGATAGCACTAGTTCTGATAGTGTTCATGTTTGGCGACACCTCCTTTGAGCTGAAGTTCTTGTAGTCTTCTAAGTTTTGCCAATTCAATCTCTTCTTCTGAATCTTCTTTTTGTCCTGCCTCCTTGAGAGCAGTGAGAATGTCGGCCCAGTCCATTATTCTCCTGTACCTACCATGGTCCTGGTAGCAAGCCAGTCTGCTCGTTCATTCCCTCGTACCCCAGAGTGTCCTGGCACAAAAATGAAACTAATTCTTTTCAGACAAGATTTCCTCAGTGACTCCAACCATTTTCTTGAAATCCATCTACAACATTGTCTCAGTATCATGTGAATTGTTAAAAAATAAAATCTAAGTTAGCCTTTTTTGTATCCTTAGATCTGGGCAGGCTGTCGCAGAGAGGGTCAGGTGGTGATATGGGATGAGGTGACAGCCAAGCAGAAAGCTGTCCTCACATTAGACTGCAGTGGCATTAGTGAGCTGTTGGTTTTTGGAGACAAGGTAGGTGGGTAAAGATGACTGGGATAAATGGTAAGGTAGATTTGGGAAGATGACTGAGATAAATGACAATGGAGCTGAGGGAAGATTATTATTCTTCAGCATTCTGAGCCCTTGAGGTTCATTGCAGCAGATATCATCCTCCTTCATTCATCTCTCTGGTTGGCCTTCTCTTTCCAGTTAGTGACACCAAGTGTTTTATACAGGTCTGTCTGGATATTATCTCTCCGTCATCTTCTCGATCTCCTTTGTGGTCTACAACTATTCAGCTCTCTTGTGTGCACACATTTTACCTCTCTGTCATCTGTCATTCTTTCAGTATGCCCCAGCCATTTCAGTCTATTAGTTTTCATGCCGGGGATCAATGGTGATTGAAAGAAATAATGAATTTCATTGTTACTTTTCACTCTCTGTTCACCACTGTTTGCATCTCTGACCAATCAAAGATTCGTTGTAAAGATTTGATGTGAGAATATGATGAGATAAATGACATGGTAGCTGTAAGAAGAAGTCTGAGATAAATGATAAGGTATGTGTAAGAAGATGTCTGAGATAAATGACGTGGTAGATGTGATACGATGACTGAGATAAATGACATGGTAGATGTCAGAAGAAGTCTGAGATAAATGATAAAGTATGTGTAAGAAGATGTCTGAGGTAAATGACGTGGTAGATGTGAGACGATGACTGAGATAAATGATAAAGTATGTGTAAGAAGATGACTGAGATAAATGACATGGTAGCTGTAAGAAGAAGTCTGAGATAAATGACATGGTAGATGTAAGAAGATGTCTGAGGTAAATGATATGGTAGATGTGAAAAGATGACTGAGATAAATGACAAGGTCGGAATGAGAAGATGACTAAGTTAAAAAATAAAGCACTTTACACATGATTTTACCTAATAGAGCAAACATTTACTTTATGATAATGTTGATTTGATTTGACGGTGTAAAGTATGAAATAAGTTAATGCCATCATTACCCCAGGAGTGCCAATTTGTCTATAAAATATAGATCTAGCCCTACATGCCTGGAGGTGTGAAAACGTGTTCTTTACATTAATTTACTTTTCTGGGATAGAATGAGTTAAATAACATTAGCCTGGTACTGAAAGAGTTAATGTTCAACATCATACAGGTGTGGGTGGGCACCAAGGATGGAGTTATCTACATCTACACTAGTGCGGATAAACAACTGTGGAAGACCATCCGAGCACATGATGATGCTGTCAGATCCATGTGTGCTGCAGAGTCGCGTTACATTATGTCAGGTATGCATATGTTAAGTTTCATCAACATAATTGTTTCTGTGATCCACATGTGTCTAGAAGTATGGCTAATCTAGTGGTAGAAAGTAGCCTTAGAAGAGCTGCAGGAGTTTCAAGGAAAGACAGAATACGAAATCACGAAATCAGACGAATGCTAGGAATAAAGCCAGTCTTACAGGTTATCAAAGAACAACAAATGAAGTGGTTTGGATACCTAACAAGAATGCCCTGGTGCTATCTGCCACAGCGAGTCACACTGAAATGTTACAACGGGTATAGAGCGAGCGGAAGACCTCAGAAAAGATGGTGTGATGGCATTCAGAACAACCTTACAGCAATGAACATCAGTCTGAATAGAGCTCTTGACAGAGCTCACCAACAAACTTTTCATCTCCCCCGACACTTTACTGAGGTACAAGGTGGAAGAGAAGAAGAAGAAGTGGTAGAAAGTGAATAAAAGGGCCCCAGTTTGAATAGTGGGAAGATAGCAGTAATGGGAATATCCAAGAAAAGAATATTGACTGTGTAATAAAAGTCAAAGCATTCTTTTAGGTCATGTACAAAAATTAAGTATCTAGGCACATGGATAACAACTGATGGAAGATGTATTACAGAGATAAAGAACAAAGTGTGACAGGTTAAAACTGGATTAATATAAAATGAAGAGCATTTAGTGCAATAAATCCATGCCATTTGAGATTAGGAAACAAATTCTTAAATATAGAGCCAGTTTTAACATATGGCTGCGAATCCTGGACAATTAATAAGCAAGCGAAACAATTTCTTGAGGCTTCGGAAATGTTATTTTATAGAAGAATCCTTTGAATTCCTTCCACAGCCAAAAAGAGCAAAGTAGATCATTTGAAAGAGATGAGGGCTCAAAGACAACTTATCAGAAACATGTGCTCAAAGACAACTTATCAGAAACATGGGCTCAAAGACAACTTATCAGAAACATGGGCTCAAAGACAACTTATCAGAAACATGGGCTCAAAGACAACTTATCAG